TACATATGACTTTCTTAACAAAGTTCGTCTTGCCACTGCAAAACTCAGTGAATTGGATTTTCCCCCAAAAATGGTTCGCCTTGCTAATGCCACCTGTTTATGGTTCCTTCTCTAACGTTATCTCAAGGCGAGGTGATCCGCTTTTAAGAAAAAATAGTGACCGTTGTGAGATAGATTTATGCCAAAAACTCTTCGAAAACGATTGATTTCATCTCTGTTGCTTATGAGACGATATAAAAATGGCTTTATCGTATTGCAGCTGGCTGGTTTAGTAGATACGTTATTGATTCTAGGGGTGGGCTTTAAATTAAACTGGATACGGTAGCTATTTATCTTCGCCTGAAAGTGTAGAAGAGAAAAGAGTGTTGGGGGAAGACTGTTTTTCCCTATAATTGTGCTGAATACATTTCGAAAACAACGAGTTTCATTAGTGCCGTAAGCCAATACTTGCTACAGGAGATTGAACGGTATTCGAACGGCTCCTCCAAATCCTAGCCAAAAGTTTCTAAGGGAAAAATGGTAAAATATACTAGTGAAATTGATCCCAAACCTGATACTTTATCAAGAGTGTTGTATTGTTGTTGCTTTACGGAAGGCTTTTGCCATCTACCCTTTCAAAAATGAAAGTTCTAAGAGAAACTCATGCTTCCCATTGTTCACCCTTACCACTGGTATCCAAGCAGCTCGTTCCCAATACAGTTTCATGCTTCTGACCGCAAATTATCTCTATTATATTGAAAACTGATGAAAAATGCTGGTTAGCTTCAACCCATAAGAATTCTGCTTAGTTTATTCCGTCGATTAGATGGAGAGTTTGAGTTGAGCCAATCTCTGATTTGCTGATTACAAAGCGGTTCATAGGTTACTCAAGTGACGGTATCCGAATGGCTTCGTTCAATTTCAGCCGGGCGCCACTGACTACAGTTTTTTACTAGAAAATAGTTAATTCTACCTGCAAACTTAATCTTATTACTGTAACTAAATTCCTCCATTCATTCAAAAATTTTAATTCCTTCCACTCGAAATTGTAAGCAATGCACCAAATAGCGACACCAATTGCTACTCCATCGGCAACCACATCCCCGCACGCACTACCTATCATGCTAAATGAAGAGCAACCAAGCGAGGCCATGGGTAATGATGTGGCAGCGGGAATGCAATTCCAATTGCAAGCGATACAGACCAACCGAAGCAAGCAGCCACAAGCCAGCCAACAACCAACCAACAGGCAGCCACCCAACCATTAGCGGACCACGCAACCAAATCAAACAATCAGCGGGGCGCTACATAAATTACTACATGCGGGCATATGAGTTTTGCGCTGATATACAAACGAGTTTACTCGCACACGTGGAGTACAAATTTCCATATGTGTTGCTCATAAGACGACTCCGGAGCGTTGGCTGTTACTACACGAATTTAAATCGCGCACAAAAAGAATTTTTTTAATTTATTTCATTTATTTCATTAAATTTTTTCTGTTGCTCCTTGCAATTCCATTTCTTTTTCGTAATGAAATGAAATAATGCTTTGCGGTAGATGACAACTAAAATCGGATGTGCAATGTAACGAGAAAAGCCAATTTGTTCACTCTCACTCTCTGCTTCTGCGTCTTCATCTGCAAACTAACGCCTGAGTTTAGATGCGAGTGTGTGGATATGAAAATAAAGTAATAAATGCAAAATACTGTCAACTGTCAGTGTGCGCGTTGTTTGACAGTTGCGTAGTTGTGTCAGATTTACGAGTTTGTTGTGTGACATGACAGTGCAAGGATTTGAGGATTAGGATTTACATATTTCGAAAAACTTTTTTTCGTTGGTTGGAAGTGTAGTTGTGGATATGAGCAGAGAGGACGCTTTGGACTCTGGCGCTCCGCCATGTGTGGTGATAGGGTGGAATCGAGCTCATTGATACAAGCTGAGGATTATTATTTTCATCTATTTTAGCGTAGAATAGAAGGCGAAAACAATTCTAGCCAAGGCCTTAAATCGAATTGCTGCTCTTAGAATCTTCGTCCTGCTGTTCTGATCCTCCTCCGGAGCCGAGTACTCTAAAAGGGTTCAATTCTTCTGATATTTGTTCCAAAAATAGTCTAGCTTTTTTATATGCCTTTAATAAAGTCGAATCTCCTGACAATTTAATCTAAACAAATTAAAATAATTGCATATCTTTGCTCTTCTCTTCTCTTCGGCGATAATAATAATTTTACAACTCAGACCGTTCAATGCGGCATAGCTAACATTTCCAGAACCACTAACAGCCTTAGAGTTCCGAATATTCACCCAAGTAATTGAGCTATTTCGAACCAAAGCCGATTTGCTGTTACACTCCACGGGAACAGACTCTGCTTCTTTATAGTTTCGTGCTCTCTACCGGCTTCCGTACCCAAATTTGCTCGTTTTAAAGTCCAACTATTTCATAAACCCGGACCCAACAACCCCAGTAAAGTCTATTAAGAAGAAACTTCGAATGCTCCAGAGTTTGCTTAGGCAGAAAATATCTTTGAGCTGCCAAACACTTTTTTCCTTGGAGTTTTTATAAAGCCTTAATACGTTTTGAGAAGATTGCTTAATCAGTTTTCGTTTTCTATATTCAGTACAAGTTCACCTCAAGAGCTCCATGCTCATCGGTGTTATGAGCACTACTTATCTGAGTCCTGATATGTATGTATATACATGCGTATAATTTACGCTTTACATAACCCCGAAGACGATTTTCGACAGAGCGCGTTCGTCAATATATTTACGATTCTTAATGTTTTCTAACAAAGAGAAGGCCAATGGGTGACTACATTTAAAAAAAAAAGAGCTCTATAATATTCGTTATTCTTGTGTTCAGAATTCGATCCCATGACCCTCTGTATGATAGTCTCCACTGCTACCCTCTCTTCCGTTGCAGTCAATAAGGTTATTCTTGGCTAATTTGTTCTGAACGTATACTTCTTAGCTCGCATTGCTTCGGTCTCCCTTTATCATAATTGAGTACAAAATATCGCATGCTATATACAACAGAGCAACAAAAATATAGCATGTTAGTTCTTAAATTGAAAAATTTTCCAATTTGTGTAAAGAAACCAGCAAAACTGTGGTGCTCATTCCTCGAACTCTCATTTTATCGGTTTTGAAGTGTTTTTGCGCTCTCTAATACTCAACCACGCTGCGTGCGAGCACATTGCTTATTTAAAGCAATTCATTGTATCTGGCGATGCACTATTTTCTCTCATCTTCAAGCTAGCAAAAATCACATATTGTTTGTATATTGGGCGCTCAAATAAATGCCTGCAAACAATGCATTGTTCTCAAAGATATCACTATATTTCATATTCACTCACCCTACAAATACATACCTTATGCCACTCTCCAATTACTCTCATGTGTACCTTGCTGTTTACTTGCATATGTACATGAATCATCCAACAATCACAACTGTGTACTATGCATAGATACTTTTTTTCGGTTTAATTTCTTTTCGACTCTCATTGAACCAACTACATATTGTGAGCACGTGTTTGCTGGTACAATGTACATACTCGTATAGTGGCATCGTAGACTGGGAACCGGTTAGAGAGAGTCACAATTGGGGGAGCGACGACACAAACAAGCTGAAACATTATAGAGACCATAATAAAAAAACCCCGCCAACACCACCACCACTACCAGCACCAACAACAATAAGTAGTTGTAGCAGCAGTTAATGAGAAAACAAACAACAAATGTTTCATTTCGCTCAACGGTCTCACTACAACATTGCCTTGCCCACATTATCTGTGCGCTACTTTAATTCAGTTCATTGCTGGTGATCGTGTCGTTCGGTTGGTAGTGAATAAAATTACGGAAAATTTCTCTCTCAATGCATGACTGTTGCATAGCGGCAATTGCATGCAAGTGGAGTGACATTGCGGAAAGAAAAAAAAAAATAATCAAGAAGAAATATTGTAATACCCACGTACATACATGATTCGATGTGCTGTAGTGACAGTGTAATTTAATTTATAAAATTGGAACGAAGAATTACTTTTCAAAATTTATAATGTGAACTTTACATTAATTGGCTACACACTCTCCCAATACGAAACTGATTTTCGACTTAACTCGCGCGAAATTCTCCCTGTTACAAGCCAATCAACCAACCAACCAACCACTCACACACTCTCCGTTGGTTCGGTTTTTTGTTTTTTATTTTGGACAACCCGGTTTATATATTTTTTACTTCGTACACACATCGTTTAGCATTGTTGTCATTTCGTTACGACTCGTTTTCAATAATTTATTTTCCATAAATAAATTTGTTATGCTTTGTTAAATAAAAGCAAACACACACAAAACATATTTAGTGAAAAATAAAAACAAAACATAAGCGTGAGTAGCGCAAAAAAAGTAAATAAAATGAAATATAGAACTCGCTAAAAGTATCTAAAAAACAAACTAAGAAGTATTAACCAAAAGCACAGAGTCGTGTAAACTTAGCTAAGAAAGTAAAGAGAGAGAGAGCATAATTGTTAGCGGCAAAAAGGTAACAATAACAAATACATTTGTGCACGAAAATAAGAAAAACATGTAAGGTGTGGTAAAAAAATAAATAAAAATATGAGAAAAAGTACTATCAAACGAATTGAATGTGGAAAATCGTAGAGAAAACGTAAAAACGTAAAAAGAAAAATCAAAAATTCCTCACAAACAAGCACAAAAATTATTTGCTCTATTTTCGATATTATTATTGTCTGTCAATAATTTGTTGTACCAGAAATATGTGCCGGCAGTGCGTTGGCCTGGCCGGTGGTGATCGATGATCGCGATAATAATGGCGTCTACAAATGCACTAGAGCAGACAGTGAGCGGCTAAAATGAAAATAAAAGGCTGCTAAAATTTTCGAAAATTTAAGAAAAAAAAATACTAAATTTTCCGTAAAAATTATTTAAAAAATATATATATGTATATTAAAAAAGTGCTAACAATTTGTCACGGAGAAAAAAATAAACAAATTGCAAACTGCAAAAAAAAAAAAACAAAAACAAATATCTTAAAATTGTAAAATAATACAAAGATCCTACGAAAAATCAGCGACAACGCATTGAAAATAATACGAAAAATCGTCTTTAACTACAGCAATTTTTAGCTTTTCAAAATTGCTGTCTAGTTTACTATTCTTACATTCTTTTCATTAGGATCTATATAACCCATTTCGGTTGGCCAAATCTAATGGTTCTGTGATACCTTTGAATGTGCCAAATTTACATTAAAATCACAGTTTCTTGTACGCCAAAAAAAATTTCATTGAATTCAAAACCATTTTTCTATAACTTTTGGATACAAAAAACTGCTGAAAACAATAAGGTATGTACAGTAAATTTGAAAAACTTTTATTTTTTTAAGAAATAAGATAACAAGGAAGTTATTCCGCATAGAAACTAATAAGATACAGGCTTGAATCATTTTTATAGGGATGGATAAGAACTAGATAACAGAGTTCGTGTGGGAATCTATTTTTTGAAAATTTTTTTTTTTCATCATCCGAAATTTTTATCCAACGCATAAACAATACCTTTTTAAAAAAAACTTAAAACTCTTCATAAATCAAATTATTACAGCCACAGCGCTGATATTCTAATTCGCCGTGACTCGACTTCATCGAAACTAGTTTGTAAATTTTTTATAACAATTTAACAATGCATCGATTGCACCTCAACCTCAACTCAGTAAATTGATGCTAAAAATAATTTAAAAACCACAATGTTCTTAATTTTGTTGCCAAATCTAAAACCCAAAAATATATTGTATCGAGTAAATATTTAATCTCGTATCAATATAATAATATTAAAATGCAACCAGACAACAAAAGTTAAGTATAATATTACACAAAATTAATAGTGTGTGAAGTAATTAAAACCAAAGTCAAGAAAAAGAAGAAGAAGAAGCTGGAAATTTTGAATATGAATTAGTGCTTAAGTCAAGTCAGCACGGAACATTGTTAAACCAAGAATTATGGCTTTTAATATTTATCATAATACACACATTGTATGCACCACACACACATACACACATACACACATACACAGTATGTGCATCCAATGGTGCGTGAACTGAGCGAAATTTGATATTTTCACGCGAATGAATATCAAAACAACAACACAAAAAATAAAAATAAAATTTAGCACAAAAGCGCTGAAATGATGGCCAGCATTAGATGGATTTTTGGACAAAAACAAAGTAATAAAAGATATTTGGTATATATTATATTTCAACACTTGCATATATGTGTTTTATGCCACTTATGCATGTATGTGGGTTCATAAGTTTGTCTGCAATTGCTGCAACACATTTTGTGCACATATGCAGGCACTTATTTGCCTTTTCACACATGCATGCATACATACATATGTATGTTTGAGAGTTAATAGCATATTTCTGCTCATATCAAGTATTATTATTTTATTATTTGCTTTTCAGCCAAATTGCTTATTGTCACCATTCTCAACCACACAAAAGTTGCTGCAGAGTTCTATATTTGAACGGAAATTTTGTTTTGCCATTTTAAGTACATACATTTATTTATGTGTGCATACAAGAAATATGCAAATGTTTTGTACGAATGTGAATTTTTATTTGGTACCTAAAGTGGCAACTAGGCGTTTCTGGTAAAATCCAGAGTGAAAACAATGACCCACTCATACATACATGTACATATGTATGAGCATGCAGCATATGTATTTATAATAAAACTATATTTTTTCTGCGCCTTTTATCCATTTTTATCATAGTATTGAATTGATTTATCTTTTTATTTAAGAAATTTGCTGGAAATTGTATTTATTTAATTCTTGCAGATGAAATTGAATTTTCGGATATATTTTTTCTTGTCATCATATTTAAAATCATAATGGCAAAAATTAAAAATAATAATATAGTAATAATAATAATAAAAATATAATTATAAAAATATAATAATAATTTTGTAGAGAAAGAAAAATAATTACTAAAAATAAATATTAAAAAAAAAATGGAAACTTAATAAAATTGACTTCTGCGCTTTTCTTAATTCATGGTTTCAAATAGTCAAAAACTCAGAGTTATCCAAAAAATTGCTTAGTTTTCGTGAAAAAGTTAAAAACAAAATTGGAAACTAAAAAATCAAAAACTTTTTACCCGTGGATACAATATATATTTGGTTAATTAATCACAAAAAACCAAAATCTGCAAAAAAAAAAATTCAGTTCTCCATATTGATCTGTGAGTTTCTATTTTATTTTTGTTATTTTCTAAAAAAAATCGTCCCAAATCCAAAAATATTTACCCATTTGAATAATTTTCGAAAATAAGAATTCAAACACTAAAAAATTTATATCTGCACTTTTCTTAGTTCAAACCATTTTTGTGTAATTGTTTACTTTTCGATCAAAAACACAAAGTCGAAGCCAAAAATCAATTTTTTTTTTAGTCAAAAATCTAATTTTATTTGACCAGTTGGCTAATTTTAATTAAAAAAAAAATTAAGCTAAAAATGCAGTTTTTGCCTCATCTTTGTTATTATTATTATTTTTTTTTATTATTTTATATTTTATTATTGCTTTTACGTTTTATTTTCTAGCTTTAATCTTAAAAATCGGCAAACAAAATGTCCATCTTCTTATTTTCTCAATTCGATAAAAATCCTTATAATTTTCTCTTACCAACATTTTTCTGATATATCAAGAATCTATCTAATTATTTGGTTGGTTGTAGAAAATAAGAATCGAAAGCCGAAAAATAACATTTTCTTATATTTCTTCCAACTTTAATCTGAAAAATCGGAAACTGATAAAAACCTTTTCTATTATTTTCTTAGTTCATTTTCATTAAAAATTAGCAAATTTTTCCTGTCGAAAACTTAAAAATTCTCAATAAAAAAAGCCTAAAAAAACTAATATTTCTCTTGCTTCAATTTATTTTTACCGTTCTTTTCAAATAATATTTTTATTATTTTCCACACATTTTTGTTGCACTTTGCTATTTACTGGCTATTCATCAGTAGCTGTCAAAAATATCGTAATTTATTATCAACCTAATTGATGTTGTGGTAGTTGTCGTTGTTGCTGTTGTTGTTATTATTACTTTCATTATTATTTACACAAGCTAACCGATACTCATGTTATCTAAATTTATTTTTCTGCACCTTTGACTCTTGTTTTGTTTTATGGTTTTAGCTTTTTTAAGGCGCTGTTGGGAAAATCCTAAAATATTTGAGTAAAATCTAATAAAAAAAGGGTAGTTACCTTTTTTATTGTTGTTTTTTTTCCAAATTTTTCACTTTTCAAATTAGAAATATTGGCAGATATGCTCGAGTGGAATAATAAAACTGAACAAAAAGAGTCCGGAAAAGTTTTCTGTGGAAAGGAAAAAGTTTTTAATTTTTTTTTTATTATTTCTGAAATGTAGTTGCTATAAATCTGTACTAAAATCGGTGAAGAGATGAAAAATTTGACAGGTTAGCGACTCTAATTCCCTATCAAAAATTCTCTGGTAACTTCAAGAAACTCTTTAAATATAATTTTTACTATTTTTGAACTAAGTTAAATAAAGTAGATGCTATAAATCTGCACTAAGATGCTCAAGAAGATGATGAAATCTAACCGAAGATAGTCAGCACCGTCACTCTCTCTCTCGAAAACTCTTCGAATACTGCAAGTATCCTGTTTAAATCAATTTTTTTTTATTAATTTTGAACCAAATTATGTAAAGGCGAGTCTTGAGATCTGTACTAAAATACCCGAGTAGATGCAGAAGTATAACCAAAAATAGTCAGCAATTCTCATTCTCTCTCAAAAACTTGTCAAAAACAGCAAAAAATCCTATTTTATTTCTTTTTAAGAATATATTCTGAGCTATTTAGTAGCTAAAAATATTCGAAAAAAATCCACAAAAAATGCAACACTGTTGCTCATGAAATTATATCTCTTCGCTCTTACATTTTTTTTTTCACGACAAAATGTTTTGTTTATATAATGAAAATTTGTTAATGTTCGACAGGCCGTCGGCACGCTGCATACTCGTTTGCGATAAGCATTGAACGCACTCATTGACGCTGATCTATCTATCTCAGAGCCTGCCAGTTGCTTTACCGTCGTTAAAGCTGAAATTACTACATGGTAAAAGGTGTTATTGCGCTACTATTTCATGTATGTATGTATGTATGTATATAGGTGTATATCGCTGTCGCTTGCCGCTTTATATACACATGATATTGATGACGGCGACGTGGTTCTGTGCTTGTTTGAATTGATAATGCTTATCTCGCTTAACTGTTTACTGATATGCCATACAAATTGTGCGATATACATAAATATTATAATTTTTTTATTTATTTTTTTAAGCTAAAAAATGTAACCAGTGCATATATACGATTATTTTCATATTTTCTTGTAGTAACTTAATAAACAACCCATTCTGGGCGCTGGTTGAGAGAGAGGGAGCTCTCTCTGTACCGCTCAAATTCAGCGCCAGGGCTTAGTTGTGACGTTGTTTATGCAAATTTCACATAATTTTGGTTATAAACAATGCGCTGATAAGTAATTTTTTTTCATTTTTTTATGCACAAATTTTTATATTTTTTTTTTATATAATTTCTTAAAAAAAGAAAATTCGCTAACTTTAATAAAATATTAATTTTGGGTAGTCAGTTACATACATATATTTGTAGGTAAGAAATGTTTACAATTCCTTTTTTCTTCAGTCACTACGATGGTTTACAGGATTTTTCAATTTTTTAAATAAACGGAAATAAAATGCATTTAAAATAATTTATTTCATAAAATTCTCTTTTCTACTATAAAGTTTGATTATGGGCATTTTATTATTGTAAATTCTGGTCGCTCTCGGCAGGAAATGTCAAACCCTCCAAGTGTATTTCTGACGAGAAATTAAGACTCCTCCTAAAAACCATTGGCCACTCGGAGGCGGCTTAGTGAAAACTGTTTCTCCCTCCATTTAATGAAAAATTTTCATCAAAAAACTTTGTTTGTAGTAAAAAAAATAATAAAAATAATCTCTTCCTGTCTCACTTCTAAACAGCGCCATAACATAGTTTGAGATTCATATTTAACCGCAAAATAATAAATAAATCTGCAAATCCCCCAACTAATTTCACGCCACTTGTAATCACATTATATTATAAATACTTAGATATCTGCAATGTCTTGGCAAATTTATTGACAACGACAGCTAATTTACACATAACTAAGCGATGACTACATCAACGGGCCAAGCTGAGCCAGGCGCAGCTCAATGAGTCGCGACGCGCTGGATGCGCCAAATTTGGTTACAAACACTCAATTTGGCTTACCGGCGGTCGGTCGATCGGT